TGACCATCCTCTCCGATTTGTGCTTGATAGACAGCGGAGCTCCTTCTCTAAAAGATTTAGACAGCTTCGTTGCTGTAAAGCACGTTATAGGAAATCTTTCCTGCCTTACTCCATTAATTTGTACAACACATCATCTTGGAGCATTAGACGATTCCTGGATTGACATCAATTATATACTGAATCACCTTTTGTATAGATTTGTATATGTTTCATTCATCATGTCAATGACATCGATTATGTATGTGTACTTGATTGTGTTGGGTTTGTTTTTAACTTTTAACGTATTTTTTTTATTTTGTTTTATATTTTTATATTTTTAGTGAGTTATTTATTCTATTTATTGGTATGTGTGCTTGATATTGAGTGTGAACCGCTGCTGAAACAATGCAATTTCCCAGATTGGGATTAATAAAGTATTTCTATCTATCTATCTATCTATCATGGTTTCTTGCACGACAGGATGGGGGTGATTAAAACCACCAGTGTTGTACTACTCATGATGGCTTCTGAAAGGAGGTGCAGACAACCTAAATCTGAGCAGTCTTACCTGAGGCTATTTGACACATAACTAGTGACCTTCTGACACTTTAAGACACATTTTCATTTTAGTTTGTGGTCTTTGAAATTATTTATGGCTTGCATTTTTAATATGTTAAAGTGCAGACCTCCCACACTTAAGGTATATTGGTTTAAACTTATTTTCTATATTTATGGTATTTTGTTAAGTTTAAAAAGGTTTTTTATTACTGTCAGATTTTGTTATGCTCGTCCTGTTGCACTATGAGCTCAGCAAAACAATTTCCTAATAATATTTGTTGTAATGCAATAAAGCTAACTGAACTCACATGGCACATTGTTGGACTACTTCTTGGGGCAGGGGCTTCCCGGAGTCTTATCACTGAGGGGATGCCAGAGAAACTATTCAAATAAAATCAAATCAAATTTTATTTGTATAGTGCCAAATCACAACAAAAGTCATCTCAGGACACTTTACAAAGTAAGGTCTAGTACTGTTATCATTATTATTACATAGGAAAAACCCAACAAACCCCCCTGTGCAGCACTTAGTAACAGTGGGGAGGAAAAACTCCCTTTAACAGAAGAAACCTCCGACAGACCCCGACTCTTGGCTCTACACTTCAGTTTTTGTCTGCACCTTTTGCACCAGGTCAAACTCAGCTCATCTTTATTGCCAGACTAGAAGTCCAAAAGAGAAAAGACACATGATGCAGATAAAATAAAACATACATGACAAAAGAAAAAAACATTGTACTGCTAAATACATCACACAGTCCTTTAATCTAGAGCAGTGGTACCCAACCCCCGGGCCGTGGACCGGTACCGGTCCGTGGATCAATTGGTACCGGGCCGTACAAGAAATTATTAATTATTTCCGTTTTATTTATTATCTGAGTCTGAACGATCTTTTATTTTGAAAAATGACCGTATTCTCTCGGTTACATCTCGGTCACTTGAGCGCCAAAACTGGCTTACTTGTGGACATATTCATCCTGCTCAATGAACTCAATCTGTCACTTCAGGGGAAAATGACAACTGTCTTCAAGTTGGCAGATAAAGTAGCTGCATTTAAAGCCAAACTGGATTTGTGGGGACGGCGCGTCAACAGAGGCATTTTGGACATGTTTCAAACATTAGCGGGGATTTTGGGTGAGACTGAGCCTGAGCCTTCATTCTCCCAGCTGGTGCACGATCACCAGTTTTGATGAAGATTTTTGAGAGGCTGGTCAGAAGAGGAAAGTGAGAAGTGTTTGTCTTCTCGGTGTGTTGTTGGATGTAGGTGAGGAGAACTGAGGGATGAAACAGGTGGGTGTCTCAGAAGGACCATCTTTCCTGTGTGCGGGGGTCCATGGAGAGGGACGGGGACTCTGATGGGGGCTGGCTGCTGCTGTCTTCTCCATTCAAACTCTTCCTACACACTGGACATGTGTCATGCTGCGTGGCCACAGAACAGAGTGTGGACAATATTAATTTTGGGCAGTTTTAGCATTAGCTGTGTCAGAGTAGATGTGAAAATAGAACTATTATAAAGTATGCTGATGACTCAGTTATTGTTAGTCTCCTCAGTGATGGTGAAGGTAGCCATGGTTCAGTCATTGAGGATTTGTCCATTGGTGTGAGGAATCCTCTCTGCAACTAAATACAACAAAAACTAAAGATATGCTCATAGATTTTAGGAGGAAACCTCATAGGCACGAAGTCACTTTAATTAAGGGGCAGACTATTGAATATGTGCAAACATACAAATATCTGGGGACGATCATTGACAGCAAATTGAGTTTTGAGGAGAACTGTGAAATGGTGTGTAAAAGATGCTAAGATTGTAGCATTACAAAGAGCCTGAATGTGCATGATGCTCAGTAAACTTTCTTCATTGTTGTCAACCAACACAATAAGCAACGAGGGAGCAAGAGAGTGAGAGACATTGAGACACTGTGGTGGAGTTTGTCTCCCCCTGGTGGCTAGAAGTTGCTCTTCTTCCAATCTGGTCACAGAAATAAACACTGAATGATCAATCATCACAAAAGTGCCTAATTATCAGCAGTGGATTATCAGAGTTCAACTGAATGTAAAACAAATCACCTCACTGCTGACATCACTTCAGAGCTCCTTCACTGTGTGAGTGTCTGAATCAGGAGTTCTCCACTGATTCATCGCCAAAGAGTGGGTGGGTTTGTGTGGTGGGCTACTGGCGATTGTGTGTGTGTTGCATCAGATCCCAGTGGCATGCATGGACACACACACACACACACACACACACACACACACACACACACACACACACACA